CCATCTCCTCAGCCGGCTGGGCTGGCTCTGCCGTTTGGTTCGGGACCCCGGCTCCTTTCCCTGGGATGTGCCTGCGTTCACACACGGCATCAGCAGGAGCCACCCGGTGCCAGCAGGGCTGCGGGGAGCCCTGGCGGCCTCTGACACTTCCCCTTCCGCTCCTGGGGCTTGGATTTCCAAATCAGGTTAAGGGACTCGTTGGTATTTCCAGGACTGGGGATTCGGCCTTGACGTCTCTCAGGGTGACTGCAAAATCCCCATGCCCACCTCTGTSCCCACCTCTGCTCCCATCCCCAATCCCACCTCAACCTCTCCAYGCCACCCTGAACCCCTCGTAAGGCTCAGATCCGTCCCCGTGGGCTGGGCCGGGTTCTGCTGCCCAACGCCACTCCTGGCCAGCAGCAGCCTCACCTGAGCATAAAACAAATGAGTTTGGGCACCAGGATTTCCTCTCACACTGCCACCTTTGCTGGGGCCCTGTGCTGACCCTGTGGTGGTGAGGGCACAGGGTGCTGGCTGCAGCGGGGGGACACCCGCGGTGCCCTGAGCGTGCATGGGAGCATCCCATCACAAATAAACTCTTCCCGTGAGCCTGGCTGGTTGTGTCCTTCCTCCTTGTACTGGGGGTGTGGGTAAACCCAGAGGATATTTAATGCTCCCCCAAAATCCAAGGCACAGCAACGCACGGCGGGGCATCTCGTGTAGATGCTGGGTTGAAGGGTGAGGTAAAAAAGAGGTGAAGTAAAAGAGGGTCTTCTCTTCCAAAGGGGATTTGAGAGTGATGGATGTGGTGAGGAAGGATGACAAGACAGGTTACCCAAAGCCATAGACAGTGTATTTCTGAGTCCCGTAACAGATCCGTGCCCGAAACTCTCCACAAGGTCACAACCGGAAACAAACCCCTGAACGAACAAACCCAAATGCAAGAGGGAAGGGGAAAGGAAAGGGCAACAAAAGACACGCACGAGCACTCCACATCCAGAAGCCCCAGTTATTGTCAGTCTCTCTCTTTTCTGACATTGCAACAAGTTTTGGTAAAGCTGGCGAAATGGAAGAATGTCTTTAGGTTGGGTTTCTTTTTTTTTTCTTTTTCATTTTTTGCGTCTTTCCTTACTGGAAAGGTGACGTTAATGCCAAAAGGACTCGGTCTCACCCCATGCTGCCCTGGCCCTCCCCATGCCCGTGTTTGAAGTGTGACAGCTGCTTGTCCCCAGCCTGTGCCCGGGGATGCTGCAAAAGCGCATCATCCACATCCTCAATGCACCTCCTGCCCCTCCATCCACTTTGGACTCATCAGATTCATTTAGCTTCTCTTTTCCTTTTTTTTTTGCCCTTTTTTTTTTTTTTTTTTAATAAGAAAAATAAAAAAAAAATAATGGTTTCATGGATAAATGACAGGCGATTAAAAGCATTCCGGCCCTGAGAGCCCTCTCCCGGGGCCAAGCTCTCCGAGGCTGCCGGAGCGATCTGCACCGGTTAGCCTGGACTCCTTCTGCAGGGGAAGAGGGGGCCCAGCACCGGTCTCGGGGTGCCCCTGGCCCCCACCACGGCCCCCCTGGTCTGTGCTTCATCCCCGCCGGCCCTGGCCTGCCTAGAGGAGCACCGCCAGCAGCACCGCTCGTCATAACTCGGTGATCTCCAGAGGGCTCTCCATGATCACCTCCCGCATCTTGTGCAGGGGAGTGGACTTGGCCGACTCGGTGCGGGCGTTGTGCTCGCTGTAGGCCCCGCAGTCGGCGGTCAGAGTCTCCAGCGAGCGGCCCAGCACCTTCTGGTCATCCTCGGGCAGGCTGTTGAGGTCGGCGGCCAGCAGCGTGCCTGTGCTGCCGTGCACCACGTGGATGCCGTCGGGACCTTTCAGCTCCACCGGCTGCTTGTGTCGGAAGCGCAGGCTGCCCTGGCTGGGAGTGTGCTCCTCCTCCTCGTCCCCCAGCTCCTTCTGGATCAGCTGTGAGAGAGCCACGGGGCGGGGGAATCACCACAGCAGCTCCTGGCTTCCCYGACTCCAAACCTCGCACRAGGCTGGAGCACAGYGGGAGGGGTGGGCTCCCCTCTTCAGGAGGGTCACCAGGAGATGGYCTCCAGCTGGATCACTCCATCCTCRGCTGGATGCCCCGGCTCAGCTGGGTGCTGTGTCCTGCAGCCGCTCCCAGAGTGCCCAAGGAGGAGTTTGGGGTTTGGGGTTATATGAGGGTGATGGGGCAGCAGGCAGGTAGGGGAAGATGAAGGAAGGTTGGATGGRGCTGGAGGGGAATAAGGGCATGGAGGTTGGGAGGGCAGAAGGGTTGAAAGGCATCTTCCATCTCGCTGCTCTCCTCTGCTCTCCTCGCCCCTCGTTTTGTCCCTCCATGAAGGGTAGAAGGCCACAGGAGGAGCTGTGTCTCCCCACACCAGCCCTTCTGCGCCAGCAGCACCCTCCATCCCAGCCTTTCTGCCTCAAAAACCTGCTGGGTTGACAGGCTCAGAGGAGCTGAATGGAGGCAAGTTGAACTCCCACAGCCTTGACAGCTGGTCCTTGAGCTGATGAACAGAGCCCACCCTGCCCCAGGACCAAGGGAGAAGGCGCTGCTGATGCTCAGAGGAATCACAGGGAGTCAGTGAGGATACAGCAGTGGGAACCAGCAGGAAACCAACATCTGGCTTATTTTGAACAAGCAGAGTGTGGGGGGACCACTGGGTGACAGGGACCATGGCCACAGGGAGTGACCACGGCCCGTGGGGGCAGGAGGACACACTGCATCCCAGAGGGCACGGCAAGCATCTCCCCACACCCTGGCACACCCCTCTACCTCCGAGACCGAGGAGCGGTCCCCCTGACTGGCGGTGGCCTTATGCACCATCCGCTGGGCAAAGAGCTTTTTCAGGCGCATGTAATCATCCAGGACCACCTTCAGGAGAGTGCCCTGGGTGCAGGGGGAGAGACTGGGGGTTATCCAAGGGAGGCGGTTTGATCTAAGGGACGCTGGCCTCATCCCCAGCATTTTTTGGAGCGACATTACCCTCCGGCACCTGGAAGGTGTAGCTGCAAGAGAAGAATCCTCAGTGGAGGATTCCTCCCCTCAATGCTCACCTTGATGGGTCCCTCCCGCATGATCTGCCCCAGCTTGGCAATGTTGTCGTACTCCTGGATGGCTGCCCGCAGGTAGCGGTCATCCTCGGGCTTGGCGGCCGAGGGCTCTCTCCCGAAGGTGCCCTGTGGGAGGAGACAGCGGCTGAGGAGGTGCTGTGGGTGACAGGAGAGGGGACATGGGGTCCTGGTGGSGCTGAGCCTCACGTGGGTGCGGGCAGGGCTGTTCCAGAGGTCGGTGATCTCGCTCAGGTTCTCCGGCAGGTCGTCCTCRTGCTCCGCCTGTGCCGCCAGCTCCATGTTCCTGCAGAAGGGGTCCAGCCACACCGGGTTGGCCCTGCCCGGAGGAGGGACAGCCATCAGCRTGGGCACAGAGCGGTGCTGTCCCTAACCCCGTGCAGAGCCCGGCTGCTGAGGCTGCACTGCCTCCTCCTGCCCTGTGAAGGTATGAACTCGCTACTCTGGATCCAGGTATGTGTCAACACCTGCCTGTCATCTCTGCTCACCCCAAACCCGGCCAGGATTGGCAGAGATGGAGTCACAGGAGAAAGAACAAGATTTTTTAGCCMTGGAAGCTCTCAAAGCAAGCATGTGTCCTGGTGTCAGAGCCATGCTCCATGCAGAGGCATCACGTTTCCAGCTCCTGGCTCCAAAACACAGCAYCCCTCTCTAGGGAGCAGCCTCCAGCCCCAGGAGGTGGCACTCACCCATCGAAGGAGTACTTGTTGGTGTTTGGCATGTCCATGATGTCCATGAAGCCTCTGTTCCCTGCAAAAGGCAGGGATGGGGGTCACAGTGGGGCACAGGGGSGCTAAGCAAACCATGCTGTGACACTTCTTTTTCAGGGAGGGATAAAGAGCAACCCAAAAGGCAGTGAGAAACATGCCAGAGTGTGTCTGATAATGCAGGGTCTGATGCTGTGAAAATCCTCTCACCACTACAGGATCATTTCTGATTTACTGGGCAGGATCATTTCTGATTTACACCTCGTGACATCCCCCCTGTGTCCCTGTGACATCCCACTCCATGCTCCCCATGCTCCCCCCTCTCCGTGCAGCTGGGTCACCCCAAACGCTGCTCACCAGTGGAGCCAGCCACGATGGCTTTCAATTTCCTTTTGTGCCTGCAAAAGAACCACAGGGAATCAGGGAGGGGAATACAGATTTGCAATAACCCTTCATACACAGGAACACAGGATTCCCCTGTGTTCCAACAATTTGGAGGGGAGAGGTGCTATTGGCATTAAAATGGTGCATTTTGGAGGCAGAGGTGTTGGAATCTGGTGGCCTCCTTTGCTTGCTGGCATTTCCAGGGATGGGAGAAGCCAYGCTGGTTCCCCTGGCCTGAGRGGACATAGCAGGGCATGGGCAGAGYCTGGGAGCTGCTCACACTGTCCGGTAGTACCAGTTCATGAGGATGAAGAGCATGGCAGCCAGGAAGAGCAGGACGGCCAGCACGATGATGACCATCTAGGAGAGACAGAGGCACAGTGGAAACCTCGGGCACAGATGGGCACGTGCCCCAGTTATACAGGTGGACCATCTCTCCAGTGACTGACCAGTCCCCCTGGAACATCACAGAACATCACCCCATCATTGTTGTGAGCAGCAACTGCAACCCCATCTGGASCCTCACCTGCAGAGCCGAGAGGTCRTCYGGTGCCCGGGCAGTGATGGCGGGCTGCACGTCCAGCACGTTATAGTTCCTGAAGAGATTCCTCAGCTGCTCCTTGTTCTCATCTATCATCTGAATGACCCTGGGAGGAGAAGGGCTGCTTGGGCACCTCGAMGTGAGTGAGGGTCCCCGAGGAGCCRGGCAGTGCCGGGGCCRGGGGAACGTACCGCTCCACGTCCAGGATGCGGTTGGTCTCCCTGTTCACCACRTGGATCAGCAGCTCTGTCTGGGCAAAGTTCACCCGGCCTTTCTTGTCGACATGGAACTGGGGAGAGACAGCAAGGGCTGCAGTGTGGGAGAGGAGCCTCCTCCTGAGCATGGCAAGAGACCCTCACGCATCCATCCAGACCCCTTCAGTACGCCCCAACCTGGCCCTATCCATCACCTCCAGAGCCCTGGGGTGTCCGTGGTTATCCTGGCCCGATTCCCTCAGATGAGACCCCCAAGCAGCCTGTGGAAGGTTCCCTACTCCTCAAAGCATCTCTGAGGCGGATGGTTACCTGTACATCATCCGTGTTGACGATGGCGCCCGTGATGTTGGAGAGCAGGCTGATGAACTCCTCCTCGAACTGTCTGACCCTGTCAGGGATCTCGTTGATGATGATTTTGACCCGCTGGTCATCCCGCAGGATGTAGATCCCCACAATGGCTGTGTCGTTGTGGCCCGCCAGGTCAGAGGCCATAATGTCCACCACGAAGTAGCCGGGGTTGTAGGCCGTGAAGAGGTCAAAGGTTCGCAGGATGCCGTCGAGGGTTCCTGGGAAACAGACGGTCACAAGCCTGGGATTAGTGACCCCAGCCAGGGGACATCTTTGGYCACAGGGATGTCTCTGCCCAGGGCCCCATGCTCCTGCAACAGGCTGGGTACCCACCGATGGTGAAGATGTTGGCCACCTCCTCAGAGTCATTGGAGTGCTGCTTGATGTAGCGGATGCCCAGGATGCTGTACAGCACCAGGCTGTTATTGCCCACATCGGCGTCCACCGCGACCACTCTGATCAGCTCCGACCCCACCTTGGCGTCGGTGGCAACCCCTTTGAGGGAGAGATGGGAAAGGGACCTGGGGCCAGGCTGGATCTCACTGCCCCATCATCCTGCTGGGTTTTCCTTGAAGTACCTCTGGCTCCTGGTACCCTCCCAGCCCCTGGCACCCCTTACCCGCCGTGTACTCTGACTTGGTGAACTGGGGAGCCTGGTCATTGATGTCCTCCAGGAAGATCCGCACCTCCTGAAGGGTCAGGTCCTCATTGAGGTTCCAGGCTCCTTCCGCCTGCTGGCCTCTGGGAGGGGCCCAGTTCCTCTGGCTGGATGCTTTGACAATGATGGAGTGGAAYGGCTCCTTCTCCCGGTCCAGGTCTCGCAAGACCTTCAGCTTCCCCTCTCGGCTCAGATGGAAGTTTTTCTCCTGGTTTCCAGCTGGGCGCAGAAATGGGGTCCCCAGTTAGTCCCCTTGGAGCTTGGCACTTCCCAAACATCCCCTTGTCCGCTGAGGAGGGCAGAGAGGCAGCGAGGAGGTGACAGAGGCCCTGGGTGAGGGGCGTGTGCGGGGACACAGAGCTGCCACCTCCGTACCCACCTGCTATGAAGTAGTAGACGATGGCGTTGGAGCCCTCATCTGCATCCACCGCCCCGGTGACATTCCCCACCACCGTGCCCGGCCGTGAGTGCTCGGGGACAGAGAGTGCCTGGTACTGGGGACTGTCCTTCTGCCAGAGACCCCAGAGAAAGGAATCTTATGA